CCGAACTGGTTTTAAACTGTGTGCAAACGGAACGGACGTAGCTGCAACTTTCTACGGTCTATTTACAAATTTCATGGACGTTAGAGAACGGTTGAGAACTAGTTTGGTGTGATAGGGGTTAAAGGTTGAATGAAAAGTATTTTAAAAATTTATTCAAACATTTATAAAGTACTATATAGATTAAAAATACAATAATTTCTCCATGCAACTCCATTTTCTATTCTGTATCTTGACTGTTTGATTTTAGCAGCGATAAGCCTCCACAATTTCATAAATTATAACAAGCCATATGCTGTTTAGTGCATGTTATATGATATTGTGGTCCTTTGATTGCTAAACCCATCTTTAATTCCTTATAGCAAAAGCGGCACCAACCACCTTCTACATGCTATCATCACATTCTTCTTCTTCCCTTGGATTGTAGTCTGGATATGCATCGTAAGTACTGTACATCATCTAATGTAAATCAGATCTAGTTTTTGAAAATCGTCATTCATTTACACTAATTAAATGTTATACATGTTGGTTTATTTGTTGTCAGACTCATAACATGCGATGTCCTAATATTGACAGTTGACCTTTTGAGTGACATTGACCTTCAAATATTCACTTAACCTTCAGTAACCTCAATGGTCTTGAACCGCATGGTCCTGGAACCCCTTAACTTAAAGGCCAGAACTGAGAATGAAATGAATGATATGTTTGCATTACAACACATTACATGGCAATTGTTTCCAGTGCATCTACGACAGTTGTAAATCTGACCCCAGCCCTGTTGTGCTAGGTGGCGGCGTAACAGTTATTCGATAATGAGCTAAAACTTCTCCAGAACTCCAGAACACAACATTCATCAACAGCATGACCAATGCCTGCAATCTCGTATACAGCCTGGAAATACGTCACCATGATTTGACGAAAAGTTCTAAAGATACACCTAGGAATCTCTGATAATATGAACTATAAAGATTGGTGCACTAGCAGAGTCCACAAGCAAATCCTGATGATAAAGTTACAGTAAACGCCATAGTTCCAAACACAATTATGTTATTAAAAAGTGTTTTGGGTCCTACCTTTTTGGTAATTATTGCATTTTCACGTTGTCCTCGAAAATTGTTAAATAGCGATCTGAACAACAGAATCCTAAGTGTATAAGAGGAGGTGTATAGAGGTGTTGAGAAAAACAAGACATATTTTTTCATTTGGTATTTCTCGTAAATATTTGTACATATATTACATTTTATAGTTAATATTTCTATTATCTCTGTATTTATCATAAAGATGTACATATTTAATTTTATAATTGGATTTGGATTATATACTGCACAAGTTTGTTTTTTAATCGAAAAGAAAAGGTCGAAAACAACTACAACAGAGTGCACAGAATGCTCAGAGTTCATTTCAATGCAATAACATGTACATGTAAATCATCATATTATAAAATATTAACAATTGTTAAGATCAGATTTAATCAGATAAAGATAGCAGAGGTAGCAGAATTACATGAATATGTTAGTTGAGGATTTAGGCCCTGGAAACAGTGCAGTATGGAATGACCATTCCTTGAAGGTGTTGCGTTCAAAAATTTGCACGAGTCAGATGCATAGCATCAAGTGTTAATTTTAGGACACAGCTACCGAAAGGAATGATCATTCCACAATTCATTGAGTCGTTGGCTTCAATTCTTCCACAAATTGCAAAATATGTCATGTCACTTAAAAGATACGAAATCACTAAAAGAACATATTTTCATCAATTTCAATCTATAGAGTCAAGTTGCCACATTGACAACCACATAAGGAGTGACCTTGGATGCGGTGATTGGTGATATTATAATGCACAGCAGTTATATCAAATACTGTGTTTGGATTGGGTAAAATCGGACACACCATGCTTGGCTATGTTTGAATTCTAATTTAAGAATTTGGTATTTAAATAGTAATAATTAACAAGAACACAAATGTGGACAAAATGTACCCACCAATGGGTGATCCCATCGAATGGTTATCCTGAAAATAAGTAGACAAGACTTTACCGAAACATTTTGAGGACGGAACATCCAAAATGGCCACCTTAAAATTTACCCAGAATGCCCAAAAATTAGTTAGTTCTAGATTTTCATACTAAGAACCACACCTGAAAAGATGTGTCCGGGTATATGCCCTTTTGGTCCCTCAGTCAAATGGATGTGAAATATGTTTTTTATTACTGTCCTAGTTATATTTGATAAGTATATTTACTTTTTCACGAGTTTTTATACATAATTAACCCCCTGCTGAGAGTCAGAATAAGTATCTTAACAACAACAAAAAATAGTCATTATCATAGAAAAAACACCAATGACAACATGTATGACATACAAAGAAGAAATAACTTAAGACCCATGAAGGATTAAAAAGAAGATCATATTTTTGAAATATATTTAAGGATTAAAATTTATTTCAAATTTTTGAATTTCCCGCCAGTTTAATTTGAAGGGGGAAAACAAGATGGTTGCCATTTGATGTAAGAAATATCAGAAAAAAAGTTGCTTCACTTTTAGTTTTCACAATGAGCACAGTTTTCCGGTTTAGGTTTTTTGACTGATTCTGACTCTTCATCACCAGGATCATGTATAGAGATTATAAAATTGAAACCAAAATGTTGTGCTAAGCATGAATTTGACTGAAATATGTGTAACATCACCAACACAATTGAAGTCTCAAAACTGGTTGCTCAGTAACTTAATTTGAGTGACTATAATCCCTTGATTACCCAGATAAAGACCAATTCACTTATCCAGAAATACCATTCAATGTCTATACAAAGAAAGTAACCAATGTTTTGGAAGATATGTTTCAAACTTTTTGCATAAATAATTCATTTAATATTTGCCATTGATTTTTTTTCAATTCTGACAAAGTGATATGCACTGTCTTTGATGCCAATATTCTTCATCAATTGTGATACAAATTTATATTTTTGTAATCTCAGAAGAAGGATAAGATATTGAAGTTTAATAATATGTGTGAGTGAGTTGGTTTTTCAGACATTACAATTTTCAATATTTTTTAAGTCGATACCCAGACTCATCCCCAGACTCATCCTTTGAAATTCATCCATCAAACAGTTAACCAGAAAACATGTAAACAAAACTTTACAGACAAGATTTTAGAATGGAAAATCCAAAATGGCTGCCTTGAATTTACCCAGAATGTCAAAAAACTAATCAGTTCAAGATTTTAATACTTAGAATCATCCTTGAAAATTTGAAATTGATCTACTAAACGGTTCACCTGAAAACGCGTAGACAAGACTTTATAGACAAGATTTTAGGACGGAAAATCAAAAATGGCTGCCTTGACATTTACCCAGAATGCAAAACTAATCAAATGTAGATTTTCATACTAAGAATCAACCCCGAAAATTCGAAATTGATCTACCAAACGGTTCACCTAAAAACGCGTAGACAAGACTACAGGCAAGATTTTAAGACGGGAAATCCAAAATGGCTGCCTTGACATTTATCCAGAATGCCAAAAACTAGTCAGATCTAGATTTTCATACTAAGAATCATCCCTGAAAATTTGAAATTGATCTACCAAACGCTTCACCTGGAAATGCGTAGAAAAGACTTTACAAGATTTTTAAGACGGAAAATCCAAAATGGCTGCCTTGACATTTACCCAGAACGCCCAAAAACTAATCAGATCTAGATTTTCATACTAAGAATCATCCCTGAAAATTTGAAATTGATCTACTAAACGATTCACCTGAAAACCCGTAGACAAGACTTTACAGACAAGATTTTAGGACGGAAAAATCCAAAATGGCCGACAATAAAAAAGTGATTAGGAGTTTTTGCTGATTTCCTTTTACAAAATTGTCACATATAACCACTGTTAACAATAACATAGGCTTTTACAACAAAGTACACCTGAAATTATTTATAAAGCTACTAAATAGTTAAAGTATTAAAACTCAAAAACACCATTCAATATGATACAAAGTATTATCGCGCGCTAACTTTTCTTAAGACATTCAAAATATTAATGGCTGACATGACTGACAGGTCCAAAACCTAATCAGATGTAGAATGAAATGGGCTGAACAAGATGTTAAAGTTTTAAAAGCAACTGTGAAGCCGTTTTTCTTAAAGTTTGCAGACAAGGATTTTAGCTTCGTCTTCAAAATGGCCGATAGGAAGTAGGTATCAAGTTAATTTTTTTGTCATCCACATCTGTATGCACTCATAAGTTATCCCTGAAAATTTGAAGGTGATATCTGTAGCGGTTTTGGAGAAAACTGCCGGACGTACGGACGGACAGACAGACAAACAGACGGACGGACGCGCCTAGGCCGACAATATGGCCCCACACTATGTGGTGGGGACATAAAAATGAAGTTGGCAATTCACTGTTTATTTTCATTAGATTACGTTAAAAAATTAAAGTACTGTATCCAATGCTCAAAAATATACAAATCATGTCGTTAGAATCAATTATAGGAAGGTTCAGATACACGCTTTTTAAGAACTTGGACGTGACATGTAGAATTATGGTACTCTGTGGATTAGTTCTCCCATTACTGTTAACTTGGCCGATTGAGTATGAAGGTATGTCCAGGTCCCTTGAAAAATGAACTGTCACGCACAGGTTCTCTTACACGTTATTTAACCTCCCTAATAACTCCTATTAGCTCCCAATCTTTTATTCGCCAGCATGGAAGGAGGATCAATATGTTTTACCTTGAAATAAAAACCAAATCTAAACAAATGTGAAGAGTCATTTGAATTGTATATGACCCAATTACATGCATAGAAAGGAGCTGCCAATCTTGACATTACAGTTCATGGTCAGAGTACTATATCTAGTGTACCTATAATCACAGATTATTACTAATGTTTGGTCCTGTAGTTATATATACAAATACTGTAATTGTTTTAATCGTTATCTTCTATTGTACAAGATATTGAATTGAACATTTATTTGTAAATGAGATAATTTATGAACCAATGTGCAATGATAGTAACTGTTTAAGTCTTTCATCTCAGAAGACACTAGTATCTACTATCATTGCTGTGCATTGGGGTTTATCACAAAGGAAGCTAACAATAGGTACGTTCTGCTAGTATCGTCTTCGGGTTTCACAAATATGAGAACACTCAACATTTTAACATTTACATATTTCTAGTGAGTGTTCAACCATAATGTGCAAAACTCCATATTTAATGTTAAGATATAACTCATTCAATAATGATTATTCAGGAATGAACATTCCTTGAAGGTGTTGCTTTCAAAAATTTGCACGAGATGAGAAGCATCGAGTGTTCATTTTAGGAAACAACGCTTGAAAGGTATGGTCATTACACAATGTATTGAGTCTTGAACTTTAATTCTTTTCATACATTGCAAAATATTTTCTACAAAATCATCTAAAAGATACGAAATCACTAAAATAACATATTTGAAACTTATTGCAAGGGTCAAGCTGGCAAAGTATCGATTTCAATTTGTAAGATGCAGTCATCACCATGTTAACCGTTTAATTAGTGACCTCGAGTTCGTTATTGATTATATAACGAAATACAGTTACGTGTTCTAATTGGCTGGTATAGAACACACCTTGCAATAATGTGTGAATAGCGTGTTCTGATTGACTGGAATTGAACACATCTTGCAATAATGTGTGAATAGCGTGTTCTGATTGACTAAAATAGAACACACCTTGCAATAATGTGTGAATAGCGTGTTCTGATTGACTGGAATAGAACGCACCTTGAAATAATGTGTCAATAGCGTGTTCTAATTGGCTGGAATTGAATACACCTTGCAATAATGTGTGAATAGCGTGTTCTAATTGGCTGGAATTGAACACGCCTTGCAATAATGTGTGAATAGCGTATTCTAATTGACTGGAATTGAACACACCTTGCAATAATGTATGAATAGCGTGTTCTGATTGACTGGAATAGAACACACCCTGTAATAATGTGTGAATAGCGTGTTCTAATTGGCTGGAATTGAACACACCTTGCAATAATGTGTGAATAGCGTGTTCTAATTGGCTGGAATTGAACACATCTTGCAATAATGTGTGAATAGCGTGTTCTAATTGACTGAAATAGAACACGCCTTGCAATAATGTGTGAATAGCGTGTTCTAATTGGCTGGTATAGAACACACCTTGCAATAGTGTGTGAATAGCGTGTTCTGATTGACTACAATAGAACACACCTTGCAACAATGTGTGAATAGCGTGTTCTGATTGACTAAAATAGAACACACCTTGCAACAATGTGTGAATATCGTGTTCTGATTGACTAAAATAGAACACACCTTGCAACAATGTGTGAATAGCGTGTTCTGATTGACTGGAATAGAACACACCTTGTAATAATGTGTGAATAGCGTGTTCTAATTGACTGGAATAGAACACGCCTTGCAATTAACTTGATGTGTGAACAGCGTATTCTAATTGGCTGGAATTGAACACACCTTGCAACAATGTGTGAATAGCGTGTTCTGATTGACTGGAATAGAACACACCTTGTAATAATGTGTCAATAGCGTGTTCTAATTGCCTGGAATTGAACACACCTTGCAACAATGTGTGAATAGCGTGTTCTGATTGACTGGAATAGAACACACCTTGCAATAATGTGCGAATAGCGTGTTCTGATTGACTGGAATAGAACACACCTTGCAATAATGTGTGAATAGCGTGTTCTGATTGACTAAAATTGAACACACCTTGCAATAATGTGTGAATAGCGTGTTCTGATTGACTGGAATAGAATACACCTTGCAATAATGTGTGAATAGCGTGTTCTGATTGACTGGAATAGAACACACCTTGCAATAATGTGTGAATAGCGTGTTCTAATTCACTGGAATAGAACACACCTTGCAATAATGTGTGAATAGCGTGTTCTGATTGGCTGGAATTGAACACATCTTGCAATAATGTGTGAATAGCGTGTTCTGATTGACTGGAATAGAACACACCTTGTAATAATGTGTGAATAGCGTGTTCTAATTGGCTGGAATTGAACACACCTTGCAACAATGTGTGAATAGCGTGTTCTGATTGACTGGAATAGAACACACCTTGCAATAATGTGTGAATAGCGTGTTCTGATTGACTGGAATAGAACACACCTTGCAATAATGTGTGAATAGCGTGTTCTGATTGACTAAAATTGAACACACCTTGCAATAATGTGTGAATAGCGTGTTCTGATTGACTGGAATAGAATACACCTTGTAATAATGTGTGAATAGCGTGTTCTAATTCGCTGGAATAGAACACACCTTGCAATAATGTGTGAATAGCGTGTTCTGATTGACTGGAATAGAACACACCTTGCAATAATGTGTGAATAGCGTGTTCTAATTCGCTGGAATAGAACACACCTTGCAAAAATGTGTGAGTAGCGTGTTCTGATTGGCTGGAATTGAACACACCTTGCAATAATGTGTGAATAGCGTGTTCTGATTGACTGGAATAGAACACACCTTGCAATATTGTTTGAATAGCGTGTTCTAATTGGCTGGAATAGAACACACCTTGCAATATTGTTTGAATAGCGTGTTCTAATTGGCTGGAATTGAACACACCTTGCAATAATGTGTAAATAGCGTGTTCTTATTCGCTGGAATAGAACACGCCTTGTAATAATGTGTGAATAGCGTGTTCTTATTGGCTGGAATTGAACACACCTTGCAATAATATGTGAATAGCGTGTTCTAATTGGCTGGAATTGAACACATCTTGCAATAATGTGTGAATAGCGTGTTCTAATTGACTGGAATAGAACACACCTTGCAATAATGTGTGAATAGCGTGTTCTGATTGACTGGAATTGAACACACCTTGCAATAATGTGTGAATAGCGTGTTCTGATTGACTGGAATTGAACACACCTTGCAATAATGTGTGAATAGCGTTTTCTAATTGGCTGGAATGTATCACACCTTGCTATGTGTGAATGGTAATCAAAACTATGAACAACATAAACTGTTTTTTAAAAGGCGCCAATTTTTATTTCTTTAATATTCAAATTTCATGCCATTTTTCAAATTAAAGTTGAAATTTTTTAATCATCAATTATTGCAAAATGCAGTCCAAAACATAACTAACATTTTCATTCCATTGCAAACATTAAACAAAGTACACACTATTTCAATGATAAAATGTCATATCGAATGTACCAATTAAATATTAAAAGGGGTGTTGGGTGCAAACATCAAAAAGAGAACATAAGAATTTTCTCTAAATATGGAACTTTCATATAATAATTTTATGTACGTTGTAAGCCGCTGAATTCTTTCGCCATTTCACCCCAATTTTTTAAACTTTTGGACCCATGGTTACTTTTTGATCATTAATACATGTATTTTTGATCTATCTAAGTGGTGTTGAAAAGTGACTCCGGTGAATACTAGCAGGCCTCGAAAATATTGCACAGCCCACGTTAATTTATCCCCACAGAAACTAATAAAACCCATCTTCATTGAATGTTATATAATTACATGATGATCTTCAAAATGAAAATGGTTATAAACTGAAACAATAATTTCCAGTGAAAAAACGAAAACCGCTGAATCGGCAGAATTTAGATCGTCGTTTCCAGCAGTTACGTGGTCAATTTGCAAAACGTCAATACATCACAAAGAAAGACATGCGAAATAGCACCAATGACAAATGTTTTACTAGGTAGAACCCTCCTTAATTACTTTTTGTTCCACTGAGATGGATGTTTAAAGTTCAACTTAGTATTTCCCAAATCTCAGCCCATCGATTTTCAAAATTTCAGAGAAATCAAAACATCTTACCTTCATGACAAAATATCAAAATTATCCCATGAAAATCAAAACTTTCGATCTCATACATCGTCGCGTGAGAACCAGGGTTTCCTAACTAACACGTTCATGGATTTGAGAAAACGGCGTTTAAAGTTCAAACATCTTCTGAACCATTTATGATACAATTTATGATTTTTTCTATACCATCTTATATTATTGTGAAGTTTATGTACATGATTTCAAACAATTATATTTGCAATGGTAAATGGATCTAAAAAAAATCTTCAGCTAGGAAACTGTCGCAGATATTTGAAGATTTTTTTCAGCCGTCTTGCACTTTCTGACAGTTAGGTTGAAATAGAGTGAATTGTAGCAATAAAAATGGAACATCCTGTTGATATCCTTTTCTTTAGCTTCACTGATTCATTAGACAATTTAACCGAGGTATGATGGCAGTATCAGTTTTCAAAATCTAGTCCTGGAGAGAGATTACCTAAAGATGTACAGTCTTGTTCTACTCGTTGCACATTGTTTTTACTAGTTTACGTATAACTTGTACAGTGTTTCTGTCTCCAATGGCACCACATACCACTGTTTTGGAAGTCTCACTCTTAGTGCTTTCTCCTGTATTAATTATTTCATCATTAGATGTTCAAGTTGGTATTGTGCTTTGATATTTTTCTTGTTGAAACTCAACTTTATCTTCCATGATTTAAGTAGTTGGACTAGTGTGAGTAGAATCAATAATCTCTTTTGCAAGTTTGGTTCCAATGGCTTGAGTTGTTGTAAGACTGTTTCAATGATTTCAGTAGGTGTAAGACAGGGAGTCCAATCAAAGGGATGTTTCTCAGCTTCAGTTTCAATAGTTTCAGTAGGTGTCAGAGAGTGAGTTCCATCAAAGGGCTGTCAGGTTTAATGGTTTCAGTAGGTGTAAGTCTGTAAGACAGTGAGTAGTATCAATGACCTCTTTCGTTTTGTGACTGTCACCTATGGTAAAGTTGTAGACAGTGTTTGACTGCTTAAGTAGGTATGGTCATTAAGAGTGGTATAAATGAGCTGTTTCTCAATGCCATTTACAGTGTACTTAATTTCCAGTGTTCTTATGGTGGTACAACAGGAGACAGTGATTCATTAGCTCCATAAGTATGGTCATTTAGAGCATGATAAGCCTTATTAGATATGATTCGGGATATGATTCCTTTGTCAGTTCGGCTGTTCATATGTTTTGTAAGGTTGGAATTAGGAATATCCTGGCTATTGCTCTTTTAATCTCCAATATTTCATTGTATTGTATTTTGTTTACCACCAATGAAGGTGAGCAATACATCTTGGTATATCCCCCCGGGATCCATTATATACATACGGTCGCAATCAACGCATGTAATCATGGAAGCCAGACCCAGGAGCCCCTCCTTGAGGGAACCCTGTGTTATTTTATGTTCACTCATACATAGTCATACAAGTACACACCACAGCATTTTTTACGAGTTGTGGACAACCCCTAAAGTACTGTATGCAAACAAGCAAGTAAGTCTTGCCTGACTTGCCGGGATCGAGTCCGGGATCGGACCTCTTGTGTAATTGGTACTCACGCTATTTACACTGGTGCTTTCAAAGTTGGCATCTACATTGGTGCATTCATCACCTTTGGCATTTATTTTGGTGCTTTATTTATAACCATTGGCATTGTATACTGGTGTCTATTGGACCACTGACAGCTATGATGGAGGTTTCATCGCCATTGACGTTCACATCAGTGTATCCACCACATACATGCTTACGATTGTGACTTTTGAAATTGACATTACTTTGATTACAACAGTTTGATTGCTCTTGGTGGCTTTTGGTGGCTCATTCTCTGTAGTTTCTTTACTTGATAATCTCTTAACACAAACTACTTGATGAAACATCGATATCCTTTCTGCCGGTGAGACAGACCGCTGTCTTGAAGACATGATTTGAAACAATGAAAGTTATTGGGATTCTGTTTTGAGATTCTCTCCAACCTGCCACTATCCTATGCATTGATCACATGTCTCCCAGTTATTCTGTACACTTAATTATACAGTATGTCTGCAAATTATAGTATTCTATCCAAAGATTGTGATGTAGTATACCATTGATGTCCCCAAACAGGTTTTTAATAGAACTCAGGCCCGTAGCCAGGATTTGCCAAGGGGGGTTCACTTTTTGGAAAATTCCAGGGGGGGTTCACTTTTGACAATTTTGGTCCAAAAATGGCCAAAATCACTTAAAAAGTGCTCAGAATGGTGAAAAACTGCTTGATTTTGAAAGAATTTTTGACCAGGGGGTGGGGGGGGGTTCGCTCGAACCCATCGAACCCCCCCCCCTGGCTACGGGCCTGGAACTAGTCCTCATATCACGAAATAAGCAACCCAGATCCAGATGTACCTAATAGTATTGATGCAATCAATATATGGTGTTGTTCGTGCCCAGTTGGGAGTAGGGCTGTAAGCACAAGGGGAATAAAAGCAAAAAAACTGCACAAAGTTTGAAATTTTAAAATCAAAAGATATGTCTGAAATGTTGTCAGCTGAAGAAGATGATGAAAGCTCATAGAATCTCTTATTATAATGAACAAACACATGAATTAGTGCTCATCTACAGAAGAACAACAGTTATGTAAAGTCCAGATAAGTTATTGGTGGAATGAAAATATTTTTAAAAATTGCTATACCTGCACATGTTATTTTCTGGTACAAAATAGTACTAAGGCATGTGGTTTTCCTTGCTTTTTCCAGGAAAATATCATTACACTCTTCTTTTAGTATATCTGGTTAGAGGTCACTGACAATCCAGTGTTGTTGAGAAACTTGGAGAAGAAATTTGAAAAACTGGAAAGGCAGCCATTTTCTTGAAATATCAGCATTTCCTTGAGTTACCATCATTGACCTCTTACCAGATTTACTAAAAGCAGACAATGGAATGATGCTTTCCTGAAAAAAGCAAGGAAATGCACAGATGCCTTCATATTTTATTTTGTGCAGGTATAGAAATTTTTCCAAAATGTTTTCCTTCCACCAGTGCCTGTAAACAAAACGCTGCCACTGATTAGATCACTTGCAGAGGGTGTATACATGTAGGTGTATAACAATTCAATCTTGTATTTCATTGCTGACATAACCGCTAGTGACACAGCAACGACCCGAGTCAATTGTGTTCACTTATACAGTATCATCCATGGTGTGATATTGTGCTATTGACGACTTGGTATAAAACACGTGTGTTTGCAAAGTCGAGAACCTCTCATTATTGTGGTATTTTTTAGACAACTTGACATTTACAAGTATTGACAATTCAAAAATACTAGCAGCGGATATGACCAAATATAACATACATAAAAAGATTGCAGATCTATGTCAAAGTCAAGGCATCCTAATAACTTGAGATACATTTATCTATTCTTTCTAATTGTGTTTTGCAGACATTTTGCAGTTTGGTTGGTGAACTTTAGTACAGAAAATGTCATCTGAATCAAGTAAGTTACATTGAATCGCATCCCCTTGACTAAAATAATGTGTAGATATTTTCCCAAGAGAACCTGACATTCAAGTAATTTATCTATGTTTGGAATTTTTGGAGGATGATTATCAATGTACATCATGCATCAAAAACATGTGGATTCAGAAGTTAGCAAGGGGGCAAATTTGGAATTCTTAAAATATTTCCTCGGTTGGGCGTTAAAAAATTTGCGCCCTTCAATCCCAAAATTTGGCCCAAATCTTGAAAAATTCAGGCCCATTTTTGAAAATTTGGCCTTAAAGCACCAAATAGGCCATGTAATGACCAAAAATGCCTGAGAAGTTCAACATGATAAAGGTGTTCCACATGATAGTGTTCACTGTGCTTATATTCTAGGTCGAAAGAATGTTGAGGGACGAAATGTCTTGGACATACTGCGAGAGCGGCCATTAGTTGGGGATGGTGGTATGACAGTAGCCTTGGAGAAGAGAGGTTACGTCAAAGCTGGGAACTGGACCCCCGAAGCTGTGATTGAATACCCAGACGCAGGTTCAATTAATCATTTGAATTGATGAATAAGCTGAGACACATGTCACATGATATGTACCATCATTAGTTACCATAACAGATACCAGTAGTGAGAAGTGAAAACTTAAATCTCATGCAAAAATCTGGATCTTCTGTAGTCTTTAGTTCTGTAGTTCTGTAGTTCCTACGTTTATTTGAGTTCATCAATTTGCAGATCTAGCTAGTGTTAAAGTTTCTAATTGTTATCTATAAATTTTTTAATGTGCATTTTCGATTGATCATGATAGCTTGCAAAGAGCTCACTCTAGCGGGTATGAACGACGTACATCTTCATGATATTCTGTCCATTTGTTGTTGATAGTTCGTCAACTACACAGAGAGTTCATGCGAGCTGGGGCAGATGTGCTACAGACGTTTAGTTTCTATGCAGCTGAGGGAAGACTCAAGTCAAACAAAACAGGAAAAATCTATACTGTAAGTTCTTCTGTCTCGAAATAGGTTAGGATGTATGTTGTGCATTGATGTAAAGTATTACTTAACAGGATATATGCGTACCAACAACATTTTTATCTGGAATAATTTAACGCACATGTATATAGGGCCTTTAAATACCATCACTGGCCAAAATATTCCTATAACCAAAATAGTACATTTACTCATATAGATGCAACTTTTGCTTTAAACATGTTATATTCAGGTAAGTGAAATCAACAAAGCAGCTTGTGATATTGCCAAAGAGGTCGCGGCAGAGGGAGATGTACTTATATGCGGAGGACTCTCTCCCACACCTACATACAAAGAAGGCAAGGGAAAACAAACTGTCCAAGATGAATTTAGAAAACAAGTGGAAATATATCTAGAGAATGATGTGGATTTTATGCTGGCTGAGGTAAAGTTCCATTCTTGCATGAATGTCTTGTATGATACTTCAAACGAGGAAAGCAGCCCGAGTTCAAAGGCTATCATTCAAGGAATCGTTTACAAATTTATTGAGTCATGTGTTTATTTAACTTAAACTTAAACCACACACTGGGCACTGACTCTTATCAAAGGTAAGTCGCTTTCAATCCAGACTCGTATGAGAATATATGCATCAACCATTTTTAACCTTATTGTTTAGATTTTTTGGACTTTCAAAATGATGAATGTATGTTTTATTTTGAGTAAATAACAATGATCTAGTAGCGGCACGTATACACGCTTCACGTGTATTTGTTTTAGTTCTTCAGTACAATAGAAGAGACTGAGTGGGCCATTGAGGTGATGAAGAATTCTGGAAAGCCATGTGGCGCCACTATGAGGATAGGACCAAGCACAGACCAATCAAATGTCGATTCTGGAGAATGCGCCGTAAGAATGGCAAGGGCAGGTAATCGATAGTTTATGTCTAACCGTTTTTGTGACCTTGACAGGGTAAATAAAATTACCACGTATATAATCAACATGTCATTAACCTTCGAACACAGGACTCTCAGATCCAGAATTTTCCTTGATGTTGATTCCCAGTGGCCTTCTATATCCTATATTAGGTGGATACATTTCTTGAATAATAGAACAGCCTATTTCATAAAACAGGTGCTGATATCGTTGGAGTGAATTGTTCATTTGGTCCGGTGACCAGTCTGAAGACAGTAAAGAAGATGAAAGAGAGCCTAGATGCAGCAGGCTTGAACCCAGTTCTCATCATGCAGCCAGTTGCCTACTACACAAGTGATTGTGAGGATAAGATGGATGGATATCATGATATGCCAGATTTCCCATTAGGTGGGTACTTTGTTCATTCCAAAACAACCCCATGAGATGTGCATCTATTCTAGGCTTCAAATCATTCCGTTTTTCGATATGGTACACACAGAGGTCAACTTAGATGTCGTGTAGGACTATACGCGTTATATTCAGGCATGGGTTGAAAGCCCATGATTCGGGTAAAGAATTCAGGTTTGACCGAAAAAGTATGAAGAGACCATCTACCGAGAATCATACGTTTTAATATTTGCTATATTTCCAGCATTATATTGATACCTCATTCTGCAGTATTAGATACTACTGGTTTGATCCCCGTTTCAGCCTAGACTATTTTGCTTGTTGAGCTCGACTGATAAAATGGCGGTCCAGAAAATACAATACAATACAATACAATGCAATTCAATACAATACAATACAAAGCAATACAATATAATATAATACAATACAATGCAATACAATGCAATACAATTCAATACAATACAATACAAAGCAATACAATACAATGTAATACAATACAATACAATGCAATACAATATAATGCAATACAATGCAATGCAATACAATTCAATACAATACAAAGCAATACAATGCAATATAATATAATATAATACAATACGATACAATACAATACAATACAATGCAATGCAATACAATACAATACAATACAACGCAACGCGATACAATACAATACAATGCAATGCAATACATTATGCAAGACGTTTCTTTTATTTTACAGCTTTAGAGGCCAGAATGATGACGAGGTGGGATGCTAGGAGATATGCAAGAGAAGCGTATAATCTCGGAGTACGATACATGGGAGGATGTTGTGGCTTTGAACCTCATCATATAAGAGAGATGGCAGAGGAGGTATGGCGTTCTTTGTGTATCGTAATCCAAGTTACTTTCGATGCTTGCAGATTTGGCTTCAATCGGGATGTCTCCGAACATTCAACCCTTTGTATTCTTAATTAGTAATAATGTCCATTTCCCTTAATACAGGGTGACACAAAAAATGAAACCCACCTTACGTTGCATTACTTGTTTGTCCAAAACTACAAGGGTTGTTCAAAAAAGTTTTGCACAAATATGTCTAATTGTGAGAATAATGGACCAATCTTGTTCATAGTTAGTATGTACGTGTATATACGCCTACTACTTAACATTTTACGGTTGCTATAGTAACCACGGTGATGACGCTTTGGTACATATCATTTTGTAAAAGATAACTAGTAACACATAAAGATCAATGTTACTAAGCACGCTAAATTAACTTTCATAAACTGTCAATTTAAATGTAAACAATTTCTGGTATTGTTCTCAATGGAAAATGTGAATCTTATCTCAATATTTCCCAGCTTGTTTTCTTTGGTTATGTGAAAGAATGACCGTAAACATACTCTTCAAACATCTGAACAAATCACCTGATTTTGTGACGTTATCAAAGTTCTCATGAATTCAGGAAATATTGGAGAATATGACTTTGAATAATAAAGCTGGAGCAGAAAACATTGATAGAATACATAATAAAGAATGGGGAAATAGTATTACACAAGTTATACTCATTCATGATTAAGACATATTGCATATAATGACTCCAATAGGGTCTGCTAAGTATTCCAAGATGGAATAAGAGAAGGGAAATGTATTGAGGGTAGCTGTACTTATGAGAGGGCTTGATATCCTATAGGTAGGATGGTTCAGACATTTGCTTATGGACTGGACGTAATGCTACAAGTATAATGCATTACTGAAAGGAAGCCTATATGTTAAGTACTGTATATTTAGATTAAATATTTAGTTATAATATAACCTGATTAACAGCTGAAAGAACAAAGATTGACGGAATCATTTCAGTCTATAAAGGCATTCACAAAATCAGAGAAATTCAATCTAATGACGTCATATGTACCATGGGGCCATTGGTTCAAATTTTTTAAGTCAATGTATCTCAGGAAGTATATTGCTTATGGTCCTGAAATTTCATATAAGCTTGTAAGAAGCTAAGGGCAATACTAGTACTATATCTGTATGAAATTTCACATAAAAATGATGAAATCTCTTCTCTTGAGATGCTGTCGTGCAAGACTTTTCGAACGACCCTTGTATATAGACTTGTCCTTAGGCTCATTTAAAGTAAACATAATGCGAGAGCACCTCGAGCAATATCAGATATCTAGCTCAGATTTTTACATCTGGGGTTACTTAAAGGACCATGTGAATGAGACAAAAATCCCCAAACCATAGCTGACTTAAAGAGAGAAATGTCAAGGAAAATCAAGGCCATATCTCAATGTGTAAGGGTAATCAACAACTTTGTCCGTAGAATTCAAGTTTGCCTGCAAAGGAGCAGACGTCATATGGAGCATATATTGTAACGCTCATAAATTCGCATTGTGTCTTCTTAAAATGTGCCAAAGGAAAAGTCTATATCTTAATAGACAAACAAGTAATGCAATGTAAGATGGGTGTCATTTTTTGTGTCACCCTGTACATAGGAAAACACACTTCCGGCTTTACTGGGTGGAGTTGAAGGATTCTCATTTGCATTGCAGCTTGCTCCAGAAAAAGGGTATCGACCCCCAGGTGCAGATAAAAATGAACAATTTGGTGCGGGCATAAACAGTACTATGTTGGCTGAGATGAACCACAGGTAAACCTCTACAATTCAAACTATACACACAACAATGTTATAAAAAATTATTATAGAGAACTAATTACAGATACAACTTTTTTTATGCAATAATAAAATTTTGGACACATGTGAGGCTACTTGCCTCATTTCTGGTAACGCCTATGTAGTATTTTATGAAGCGCCAATCGAGGGAGGGAGGTTAAAGATACACGTTTTTTAAAAACTTGCACGTGAACGTGTAGTATTATGGTCCTCTGTGGATTAGTTCCACCATTTGTAGTGTTTACTTGGCCGATTAAGTATGAAGGTATACTGAAAATAATTGTAATTAGGTCCCTGGGAAAGTGAATTGAGAGCGGGACAGTAAACCCGTGTCGACTTTTTACACGCTCAAGTACAGGTTCTCTTAAATTTGAATACGTGTATCTTATGTTCCGCCTTTAAAGGCGGGGTATAGATACCATCTTTATTTAAGCGAATTGAACATTGTATTATTTGTATTCAATTATATTGTGTTTATCATAATCTTTGTTCAATACCATATTCTCTTCCCTCTAATTAATTATTTAGTATCTAATAAATACATTTTATGAGAAATGTGAAATTATGATCCCAATATTCTCTATTTTGTTGATTCTCTGATATTTCTATCTGTTATCTTCCTTTGCATAGAGACATATCTTCAGTATTTGCAACTGGCATGTCTTTAAATGTTTTTCAGGAGAGGAGCTGAATACTGGTATAGCACAAGTGACAATGCTAAACGACCTGCACCTTAACATCACAGAAAACTAATTTAATTTTTTTGTATAGAGCCCCTAACTATGCAATAATAATATTTTGGACACAGATTTGCAAGATTGAAGGATATAACATCGAACAGTTATCATATTATATGAGGTTATATAATGGTTCTTTCTGTATATCGTGTTTATACTCGAGTGAGTATATGATATATTCACAAGTGAGCGTAGCGAACGAGTGAATATATTATATTCTCACGAGAGTATAAAATGCACGATATACAGAATGAACCATTATATAATCTTATTATGCCACTCTAAGTTCAATTACAGTTGATTCGAACACAATCATAACAATAAAAACCATAAAAATATCCCATAGCCAACCCAATAATGCTGATGTTTATCTCGATCCATTTATGACGTCACTTGATTCTAGGAAATCATGAAAATTTTCATGATTTTTTTTATTCATTAGTTCCCAGAATGCACTTCTACAGTGGTATACGCTGGAGTGTATACGGAGGAGTTGTATACGATAACGATATACCACTCTCCACTGTATATCGTTGTTATAGACCCATATTATACAACTGTAATTGGACTTAGAGTGGTATAATAGTCATTATACCATTATAGGCAAAATGGAATCCGCTTCATGTTACAAATGAAAAAAAACACTTGTTTTTGACAAATAATAATAAAAAATGAGGCAACTGAATTACAAACGCCAAACGTTCATATGATTTTAGTTGTTTTCATTTAGTTTTTTCCCTAACTTTCGTAGAATTCTGTCCCGACCATTTACACGCGGGGGCCAACTATGGGGCGTATCGAAACCGTATCGAGGAAAACACTGCAGGCGAAATAACTTGACTTAAACGTTGAATTCCTGGCCGAAAATAAGCATTTTCTCACAGCTGGAGACTTCAACGCCGCTAAAACGAGAGATTTTGTATCTTTGAATAATATACCGAGAGAAAGGTATATTTGTTTTGTTTGTAGAAAAACGGTTCACTATGAGACTCTTCAAACATCTAGCGAGCTAGTGGGTCTAAAACTTAAATTGACGGTTTTCGGGACGATATAGGAGAGGTTAAGCTAACGATGTTTTTCACAACGTAACCGTGAACGCAAAGTGTCTAAACAAACACTGGATTTGAACGGCTATTTATATGAGTAGGCTACATGAATTTGTATATGGTCGAGTGATACGTACAGGTTCAGTTTCGATTATATATGCAAAGCTTAACCTCTCCATTGTTTTTCACAACGTAACCGTGAACGCAAAGTCCATGAATCAATACAGTGTATACTGTATAGCGCGCATACAGCTACGTTCACACCAACGGCGAATGCCACGCTTTAAATCGGCGATCAAAGCGCCGTCATTTTTGTCATTTTTCTTCATACCAACGGCGCTTTGATGGCGCTTTAAAGCGGCTTGTAAAGCGGCACCAAAGCGTAACAAAGCTTGATTAAAGCGTCGGGGTCGTAATAGGTCGTAGAAAAGCTCAGAGTAAAGCGGGATATTCGGCAAGAGCGCCAAAAATTTTTTAACTTTTTAAAAATTTTGGGCGCTCTGTTACGAATCGATTAAGCGCCGAGAGCGTATCCAAGGAGGATTGGCTCCCAGAATGCAACACCGATATTCTGCAAAACAATCACCTAGCGATAGCTTTGTTGGAGAGTATCGAGTCATTCTCCATGCAGTCGTACAAATTATACAGACACGAATAGCAAATGACGCATGCGTGGAGATTAAAGAATATCGAGTTGGAACCCTGGCTTCCAATCCTCCTTGGAGCGTATCAAAGCTTAAAGATTCTCGCAATCTTTATCCAATCAGCGTTTGCGAGTGTGTCGGCTCACGTATAAAAGGCGAATCCAACTCAAATCCATGCAGGGGTGTATGAGGTACTCGAATATGAAAGAGCTCGTGAAATCTGAATTTATATGCACATGGTCAATGTTTACACATGTTTGGAGTTATTGAAGAAAATGTGATATGGGTGTGGTTCCGGATTTGAAGTCATTGCTGGAAAATATGATTTTAATACGTGAAATTATATCTATAAATACAGCACTAAAAATAACAGTACACTATATACATGTATGATTGTGTCCAGAAATGTTTGAAACCCTTACGGAAAATTCTGTCTACATTTTGTCACCATTGCTCTTTCTTCCCGCATTCTAGTGCTGTTTGAATGAATATATTATTAATGTATTTCTAACTAAAATATATCACTTTTTTTTATAAACCAAAAACATTTAGATCATAAAAAATTATTCAATACTTGAGTGAGCACGATATGCAAGGGTTACTAAGTTGACACAGTAAATGACCACTGATATTGTGTTAGTCCATGCACACAGCGTATTCTGCTAAGGCCATAAGAAGTAGATCCTCTGTTTTGCGTCCCCTTGCTTGCACGATTTTGAGTAAATCAGAAAAAACACATCCAAATAGCAATCACAAGGGTCTGAAAGTACCATCGCATTTCAGAATCAGATGAAATGGCGGATAATTTGATGTGCGTCAAAATTGACAGTGTTATAATTATTTGACATACATTGTGTTTTTTCTTATTTTTTACCCTTGAATAATAGCTATATTTTTATATATTGTATCAAATGTATAGATATGTGTTTGTAATCACTGCAAATTGGGATGTCATCCTTTTTATGCCCCTAAAATGTATATATTTCTCAGCAAACAAGTTTTTCTTTCTTCTTGAGTTTGTGTTTGTTTTCCTTGTACCCTTGCATGATTTGGATTTTGCCAGGACGCAAAACAAAGAATCTACTTCTTATGGCCTAATATACATTTGCTAACACCCCCACTTTCATAGTGAAGTGACTAATTGGTTTATGTTTACGTTTTAATGTGTTTTGGGTTCCTTGTTACAGCAAGGGGGGGCAGTAAAGTAGACTAACATGTTTGCATGGCAAATTTTGATCGAATATGTGAGACACTTTAACAAAGCTCAGAAAAGCTTGATCCAAAACGTAGGAAAGCTTAACATAGCTCTAAAAAGGTTCCCCACGCTTTGATCCCGCTTTGATCAGGCTTTGTTACGCTTGAAATCACGCTTTGATAAGCTTTGATAAGCATTATTACGCTTTGATGCGATTATGACGCTTTAAATCAGGCTCTGATACGATTGCATCTGTTAAGCTCTGTCACGCATTGGAAAATGTCGAGATCGCCGATTCCATGCCGCTTTTGATCCAATGACTATATGCTTAATGTACTTAGCCAGTGGTGTCTGAAATGGAGAATGATAATTAATGCTGATAAATCAAAAATTGTGCACTACAGGCCAAAATCCACCCCTAGGTGTAATTTTAATTTTACATGTGGTAACATAGAGCTTACATATGCTAATACTTACAAATATCTTGGATTGTGGATTAATGAACATGTAGAATCCCAACACACAGCACAAGAAATAGCAAAATCAGCAAACAGAGCCTTGGGTGTTATTATAGCAAAAGCAAAACACTTTGGAGATATGGACTTTGATGTTTTTGATAAGCTCTATGATACACTAGTGCAACCAATCATTAACTATGGGACATCTATCATAGGGCTTACTGAGCATAAGTGTCTCAACAAGATCCAGGCTAGAGCAGGGAAGTTTTATTTAGGAGTAGGCTCAAGGACAAACAATGAAGCAGTCCGAGGAGACCTGGGCTGGGAGCTACCTATAAATAAACAAAAACTCCAATGTGTTAGGCTATTCCTCAGATTAAAGAATACAGACCATAATAGAATTAACTTTAAGGTACATAGCTGGTCAATAAGGAGAAAATCAAGCTGGGACAATAAAGTGCTCAATATTATTCAAAAAGCAAACCAGGGCCATGTTTTAGAAATGGAACAACCAATCAATATCAAACAAACAGTCCAAAATGTTCAACTACACTTCCAAAGTCAAGACCCATTCTTAAATAACATATGGAATGACAAGGGAAACCTTATAAATGGAAATAAATTAAGAACATATAGGGAATTTAAATTCGGTGTCTGCACTGAACAGTTTATAAAGGAAAACTTGCCAAGACACCATAGAAAAATACTGGCAGAATTTAGATCTGGTACTTTGAAGTTAGCCATAGAGACAGGTCGCTTTAATAACATTCCATTACACAACAGAAAATGTCTTTTATGTGATAGTGACCAAGTAGAAGATGAAAAACATTTTCTGTTAGACTGTACACATTATATAGATATCAGAAATGACCTATTTTCATATTTAAGAGATTCATTCGATAATTTTAGTGTTGATAATATTACACTCCACTCTATAATGACATGTAAATCTAGTCAAAGGAAAATTGCTTCCTCTCTATATAAAATGTTTCAAAAGAGGGCATTTAATCTGGAACGTTTGCAATAACATTGTAATATTGATGCTATTTATGTATAATATAAGTGTCTCATTAGCCCGGCATCGGCTAGAGGTTTTTTTATTAATGTATTTTAGTATTGTATTTTATTGTATATGTATGAACCTGTGACACTATAATAAACTATATAAACTAAACTAACTATATAAAGATGCAGTAGATCCATAAAACCATTGCATCTTTGACTCGAGAACACGATGGCAGAACAACGAGATACAGAAATTACAGATGGACCAGAGCATGACCTATCTGAAGAAGACATGACGTTTGTCGCACGGCGTGATATAGCGTGTGGAAACTTGTCAAGCGTACAGCAAAGCGTTTCAATCCTTGATTAAAGCGTCTCAATTCGTTGGAAAGCTTGAGAGTCCTTCATGAAAGTGTAACAAAGAGTGTCAGATATTGATGATAGCGTCTGACCTCGTGTCAGATCTTCATGCCAGATCGTAGCAAATCTTGAGACATCTTAACGAAGCGTGTCAAGTGGTAATAGACCGTGAACAGACTGGGGTCCCCGCTTTGAACCAAGCTCTGTTAAGCTTTCCTACGCTTTGAGTCAAGCTTTGTTGAGCTTTGTTACGGTTTGTTAAGCTTTGATACGCTCTCGGCGCTTCAATCAATTCGTAACAGAGCGCCCAAAAATTTTAAACAGTTTAACATTTTTTGGCGCTCTTGCAGACTATCCCGCTTTACTCCGAGCTTTTCTACGACCTATTACTACCCCGACGCTTTAATCAAGCTTTGTTACGCTTTGGTGCCGCTTTACAAGCCGCTTTAAAGCGCCATCAAAGCGCCGTTGGTGCGAACGTAGCTTGAACAGTTTACATTT